AGTTTCATAAAATGGTAAACCTCACATTTCAGCCCTTTAAATAAAGAAAAGGGTTAAAGGTTAATGATAACTGATTAATAAATAATTATATGTATTTTATCTGCTCCATAAATAATTCTAGATACCTTATCCAAATTGTTTAAATGTGTAGAATCAACATAAATTGTTTTTCATCATCAGGTCAAAAAGTACAGCAGGGCATGCAAATTTGGTCTGTTTTTTGGCCAGACAGAAACTGCAAACAGGCTGAATGTGAATGTAAGTCTCTGTAAACCCACTCTCTGACAGCAGGTGGCGCTTATGGAGCAGCAGAATTACAGCTGTTTCCCGTAACCTCTGTGGACAAAGCAGCATTGTGATTAAATCAATACTTTATTAGGTATTAGGGTGACCATACCTCCTCTTTTCCCTGGACATGTCCTCTTTTTGGACCTACAAAAATGCAACCGGCTGGGATTTCAAAATCACCCAAAATGTCCGGGATTCGGCTTTTGCTTTAAATCACTTTGGATGCAGCTCGTGTTGGATGCAGGGTTGCCAAATCCGTTTTTTTTTTTTTTTTGCACGGAATTGGGCTGATTTTAAACTGTTGCGGTGGGTTCATTTTCTCCCGTGGGTTGAAGGTTTGAAATATTGCATAAATTACATTTGACTGAAATGCCTGTATTAAAACATTTTGCATTCTACCTATGGTAAAACTGTAGTAGAAGTTTTGTGAAGTATGATCACTTGTAAGAAGCCTTTTAGCTGTGTTTAGGATCATCTGCATACTGGTGACTGTAAAATATGTATTTTAGGTATGGAAATTTGTGTTGTGATATTTGGGATATGGTCATTGCGCTAGGCCTACTTTGGGGGCTACTTTAACCCCCCTCAAACCCAAAACCTAAGACTGTTATTTAAAACTGTGCTTTATGCTGGATAGTTATTTATCGCAAGTTGTTCAAATAACGGTAAACGGATACAGTTTTAAAGGGGTCATATGATGTTGCTAAAAAGAACATTATTTTGTGTATTTGGTGTAATGTAATGTGTTTGTGCAGTTTAAGGTTAAAAAAACACATTATTTTCCACATACTGTACATTATTGTTTCTCCTCTATGCCCCGCCTTTCTG